AAATCACACATGCGTATTAAATCAGACAATTGTTTCATTCTTTTTATTAAATCAGACAATTGTTTCATTTTCAGAGAATCCCAATCGCAAAATGTAAGATTTTCTAAAAGGATGTTGACAACACACCAAAAAATACCGTTAAGCTTCATGAGAAGGGCAGTGCCATTATCATATGCAATGAGTTGTAGGCCTTGAAATCCATTTCTAAAATATTTAGGATACTACGCGCGCTGTGATTGGTCGAAAACCATGTTTGATTACAGTATCAAAACACGCTCGTTTCATATCGTATCAAAAATCAGAATTCTTTACAATTTTCGTATTCTTTTAATTTTAGAAAAGAAATAAAAGACGAAATTCCGTGTTTGATACTCTGATCAAAACACTTGGGATGTAGGGAGAGCACTCGAAAAGCTGGAAACCACTCCGCTACGCGTCCTGGTTTCCTACGCTTCTCTCATGCTCTCCCTACATCCCGCGTGTTTTGATTAGAGTATCAAACACGGAATTTCGACTTTTATTCCTTAAACTATATCTTTGAAATGACTACATCCAGAGATCTTAAGATTAGTCTCTCGCACAGCCGCAACTTCCGGTTTCGTCCAATTTCCCCCTCCACTTTTGGGAGGGACAGGATACCCGTCAAAAAGAGAGGCTACAAAGGAGACTACCTTAAAATAGGACAGAGTAATAATTTTTCAGTTCTAGTGCACTTGGTTAAATAAAGTTCATACTGTATTGAGGGTCAGATAAGGGGTGGGTTATTGTTCTGTTGGGTTCAGATTTGGATTGGCCGGATTGGGTTCAGACTAGAACTGGATCTGTAGTGTTGGGCTCGGAACCGATTAGGGTTGACTTGGGATTAGTGATGGAGTTAGGGTGAGGTTATGGTCGTATTGTGCCGTAATAGGGTCGGATCGGTCGGATTAGTGTTATGGTCAGATTAGGGTCGTATTCGGTCGTAATAGGGTCGGATCGGTCGGATTAGTGTTATGGTCAGATTACGGTTAATTAAGATTAAAAGGGTAAATTTGTATCTCTGATGAGCGTTCATGTAATTTCCCTCATTCTGTAATTGTTATTAGCCAAAATTAATAATCAGTGTTGTCATTGCTCATCAGATCAGAGGCAGAGCTTGGTTATCCATCGATTCATCTTGGACGGTTGTCAGATATTATTCTAAGTTTACTGCACTTCTCGTCACAGTATCTCTGTTTAAATGGTCGGCTTGTATTTTGGTTACCTGTCTACAAACCAAGGTAGGTTCCTAGCCACAGCCAGATGCTAGTTTCAATTCTTAGTTTCCACAATGAAAAGAGCCGTAACTCTAAAAGTGTGACCACCGATAATTTGTGCACAACGTTTCTCCATTTCTGGTCAAAGCAGTGTTCACGCTAATATGCAAAAGTTAACATTAATCCTGTAAAAAGAATCGAGAATGACTTCTT